AGGGAAAGAAACTCTTTTGTTTTAATGTAAAAGTATTAGAAAAACAAATTACAAAAATACTGTTATTTTTCTCCAAAATGGAAATCACAGGGCAGGAAAATGCTAGACAGAATCTCACATAAACTGCTTCAATTCCAGGGCAGGTCAAGTCAGAGACTAGACCAGACTAGACATTCTCCTTCAGAACACATATACTGGAAGTATGTAACTCCTTAATATACAGCAATTCCCTGTAAACTGAGTGACTTAGTATCTAATGCCCTCAGTGTCATGATTGTTATGTGTTTATCCATTGTTTTTTTAAGCAACAGCTATAAATATACAAACAACTGCAAGAAGACTGTATTTTGCTATTTGATTACATGGAGTAAAAATTCTGAATTAGTCAGCTATAAAGAGAAATTCTGTAGTTCATATAAGGAAATTATGACGAAAATATTTGTTCAAATATTAAAAGAAAATTATTTTTAAAATGAAAAACAAAGCCTTCCAGAAACAGTTTGTTATCTGTATGGTTGCCTTTTCCTTTCCCCATTCCAACTAATTACAGTTTTTGTTCCTACAGCAACCAACTTCCTTCATTGTCATACTGTAATCTATCTCTACTCAACTTATTTTTGTAAAAAACATGAAAATGGAAAAACAAAATAGGCTAAATTTGTAGTTATAGGCTAGTTCTCTGTATGAGGAAGTATAAAAGTAAAAAGAAAAATAGGAAAAAAAAACAGTGAGGAAGTGGGAAAAAAAAAACAACTTTAAAGTATTCAGATTTTCTTATTTCATATTTCTCTAAGATTCACTGCATTTTGAGAAACATTGTACAGAGTTCAAACATAGCTAAGAAGAGTATGGATAGCCATTACAATCAAGATATAATTTAAACCCTTAGTAGGGCTCATGTATCAAAATTTATGCCTGATGAGATGAATTACCTTTCAGCACTTGAATTGCTTCTTTCACACTTTTTTTTTTTTTTTTAATTTTAAAGTTTAGAATCACCATGTCTCTCTTATTATGCTGGAAAGTTCCAATTCCTTCCACTTCCAGAGGAACCTAGTACTAATCTACCTCTAAAGTAATTCTTTGCTTACAAAAAGAAGATTAGCTAGACAATACATACTTAGATATTTTAGACATTAACAGCCAATTTACCTTGTCACCTTCAGAGAAAGTTACTCCATCAATGGCCCTTTTCCAAGTAATCTCTGGGATAGGTTCTCCTTCTGCTTCACAGATGAGGGTGGCTTTCCCATTCTCAAACGTGGTTTCATTTTTAAGTTGTATTATTTGAGGCTGTACTGTTAAAAATACAAATTACATTACTCATCCAGCACAAAGAACGTCAAGGCAAAATCTATCTTTTAAATCACTTTATTTTTTTTTTTTTGGTGAAAGTGCATTCATGTATTTTCACTTAGGATTAACTAAACGTTTAATGTTATCATATATAAGAGCAACCAGCTTTTTTCACTTCAAATTGTACAACAACGATTTCTGTATGTCTGATGACCTGGACTCCTGGCTTGGCACGGCTGGCACTGCCAGGGCTGCCTGCTCCCTCGCTGGGTAGTGTGGGACGGGTCCTGGCTGAGAAGGCCCCTGCCCTGCTGGCTATGTTTCTGTCTTTTGCTCCGGGCTCGCTATCTCTGGGGGACCAGGCAGCCCTTGCCACTCTCTGGCACTTCAAGAATGAAGCAAAGACCCAATGATCCCACAACGATCCTGCACCTGCTCAGGAATGACCATGCACCAGTGCACGGGTGCTGACTGGCTGCAAAGCAGCTCTGCAGAGAGGGCCCAGGAGGTCCTAGTAGACAAGGAGTTGATGATGAGCCAGCAATACACCCTCGAGTAGAGAAGGCTCCAGAGATCCAGTTGTACTCATGGTGAAGGATGTTTTACTCATGTCTAGTCTCCTTTCTCATTTTATGACCACTATTTAATTTACGTCCATTGTCTCATAGATTCTGCATTCAGCATTACCAAGGCAAACAACTTGTTATATCCAGATATTTCATCTCTTTTTTTATCCATTTACACCACACCTTTCTCAGTCTCAGTTTTCATTCCTTATCTTGATACTCCTGCTGCTTGTCTACTGTCTGTTCACCCTTGACTATTAGAAATAATCTATTGTGTTTTTACTGCATAGAGATGAACAACTAATATTTTACCAAACAAAGCACTGAACTAATATCCTGCTTCATTAAGATATAATCTACGATGAGTGACACATGTACAGAAAGGAAACACCCTGACTGATCAGAGGCTCTTGAAATGTCAACCAGATCCAGTTGTATGGGATGCAGTAGAAGGCAGTAAGCAAAGCATTGCAGCAGAACATCAATTTGGCTGAGAAAAGCTGAAACTCTTCTCAGTGCTAACACAGGGACGCCAGTTGAAACAACTATAAAAAAGAATTCAGGATAAAAGATAACTATATTAAACTTCAAAATAAGTTCAGTTGTTGCTCTCATTCTCAGGATCATCCAAATGCCTATGAAATATTTCACCATGGTATTCAGGTACTATATTTACACAGGCATGTCTGCCAGCTACTATATATCTTCTTCCCTTCATTTCCTTTGATATAATATCATTCTTGGAAACAATAATTGGCAAAAATACCATACACCAGAAAAATCACACATGGAATTATATATGTCAGAAATTTGCAAAATTTGGAATTACATTACTTCCATCAGAACAAGAGGGTTCCCCCACCTGGACAACATGACAAACAATATGATCTGCTCAAGTCGATGTATGTTTTAAAATATATAACTAATACTCATTAACTTTTAATTTCAGATTTCTATTCTAAATTTCTTTAAGGCCTTCTTCAAATGGATCACTACATGACAAAAAGTCTTAGCTTGACATTTTAGACATGACATTTAAAGGAATGAGCACTGATTAATAGTCAGATATATCTACCTGAGAGCTACTGCTAGGAAGAAGAAGAGAGCTTGTGTGGGGGATATTATTTAATTGCTTCATTTTTGTACGTCACAAGTCATAACTTACTAGTTACTAGAAGCTTTTAAACTGACTACTATTTTATGACATTTTGCACATTGACAAACATTAAAATATATTTCTGTACATGCCAATAATAATATTAATTTCAGAATGCTGAGATTAGTATTGACAGAAATACTAAAACAGTTGTTCCTCCTCATCTTCAACTCTTTAACTTTCTATATTGACAAGGTCATTCTCAAACTGAACTGGTATTTGCCTGCTGTACTTTAGCAAGTATAAAACAAATGGAACTATAAGGTCTTGGAATGCAAACCTAGGAAGCATCCAGGCCTTTGCTGGTTTCTTCAGTCAAAAATACCAAAATATTTTTTATTATAATGTACTTTAAAAATTGTAAACTGAACGACCTGACTGAAGTGAAAGACAGCTTGAATACAGAAAGAAGTTATACTTAATCTTTAATAAAATTACTTTATTTGAAAGGTAAGGAACTGCTTATTACTAGACACGTATTTTCGAAATCTCAACAGAGGGATGCTGCCAAATAAAAAAATAGCATTTACGTTTTGGAAAGTTTGCTGTCTGAGCAGAGAAGGTTGGTGTTAAGATCTCTAAAACTGCCCCATAAAAAAGTTTATTTAAGATTCTTTCTTGGTCTCTTCTGGATTTTTCTTAGAGAAGGGCTAAGCACACTGGTGTGTATGTACAGCCTCTCCACAAAGCTTAAAAACATGGATAGCAACCTGAGGTTACAGATTTGTTATTGGTTGCTTGCAACCAATTTTTTGGAAAAGATACACCATTAATTGAATTCTCACATTTCTCCCCATATCTTTGACAAGAGTTTCTTCAGACTTGGGAAGCAGCACATGTATAAAGCTTGAGACAGTCCTGATTATATCTCATCAAAAAAACTTCTTTAAACAGCTTATTTTTATTACAAACATGGATTAGTATATGTCTGTATTGCTGCCTGATAGGATTTCTTGATTAGTAGGACACTTCAGGAATCATAATCTTATACTATCTTCCTGCACAGCCACATTTGAATCAGGTAGCAACTGTGTCCTCCTGGAAACTACTGGTAACTTTTGAATTTAGTAAATAAGATTGCTCAGCAAGGAAATATCCAAGAAATAGACTCCTGAAACTTGCTTTGTGACATGATAAGGATTCGCACACACACCAGTATGAAGTGTTGACTTGATTTAGTGCATGATAAACCCAAGTCTTTGTACATGTTAAAATGGTATTACTACTTCACACTCAAAGAGATTAAGACTTGTCTTCTGAGAGAACTGGCATCACTGTCTTTATAGATTGCATCATTTCTACTTTGAAAAGTAGAGGTAAGGATGTAAGAAAGAGGAATAAGAAACACAGAAAATGTATGAACTTTTGACATTATATCTTTAATTGATGAATTGCACTTCGTGAGACTACCGTTGTTATAGTTTATAATATCTGGGACGAGCAGGTACGAATAGTTCCAGGCACAGATCTATAAGGATTCCCTTTCTAGAGACAGCAGTGAATTTAAATGAAGAGTTTCCATAAATACATTGCATAGTTGCTTAGGGAAAATGTTTTGAATACTAACATTTGGAAAATATTTAAAAGGAATATGACAGGAAAGGTCCGTTACATTTCCTCTAATCTGCCTGATGACAGATAATAAATTAATAATAGCCTATACTTTTTTCACTAACCAATAAAAGTTACTGCAAAAACCTTCCTGCTATGAAAGATTCAGATTATACATTAAAAAATCTATAAAATAAATAAAAAAAAGTGCTTAAACTGTGCAATATTATAAGGGGTCTTTTGTAACACTTCTTGAAGTGTTTGTCACCCATTTGACTTTCATGAAATCGATTGTCAGTAACTAGTGAAACTCCAGTAAAATATTTTTATAGGCTCAGACTACCATCTTTCTGATTACGTAGGTAAAACACCTACACTGTAGAGATCTTCAAATTAATTTACGCTAAAACTCCTTCCAAATATGCTAAAACTCCTTCCAATTTTACCAATTCTGGTTAAAGAAAAAATATATTTTTCTCGTTCTAGAAATAGATATTATTAGACATTGAAAGTCTTATTGCTATACCATATGTACAGAAGAGAGAAAACTTGTCGAAAACCTCAACTGTTCATGAATCATCGAATGGCAGAAACAAGCACTTGAGTGATTAAGGAGTGGAAATGAGCAACTAAGGAGAAAACAAAATTAAGGTATAAAAACTACCTTCAAAATACAAGCACTCTTCTTATAAAGCATGAATACATCTTTAATTAAAGCTAATTTTGTTTCATTTAGCCTGATTAGATTTTTTATTACAAGGTAAATGAACACTACTGTCATCACTCTGGGGAAGGACTGATGAAGAAATGAATGTCTAGATCTGAGAAAGTAAAACAATGTTGGAAGGCTTTAAGGTATTGAATTTTCTGGACTGCTTTTAAATCAACTTCTTGTTATTATGTTATTTTGGAAATTCTTGTTGGGGTGACCATAACTCTAAAAATGTGGTATTTCATCATTTAAAATGCTAAACTATATGCATCTAAACACACACAAGTGTGTATATTTATACATATATATGACTAATTACATCACAAAACAAATCAAAGAAAACAATGAAACTGAATAGTATGGGTGAAAGAGATATAGGAAGTTAGCTACCAAGCAGGGACAAATACTGAAAAATATTTTAAAGAATTCAAGGAAGAACACCTATGGTTTCAAACTGTTCAGAAGGACTACACAGAAATGAATTTGTATCAAAAACCTTAGTACAAATCCGAAGCATTAATATGGATGAGATCATTTAGGTGGAAATGGATAATGACACAGAGGGAACTACAGCAGATAACAGGATGACAGACGAGATTACCAAATCACAATCAGTAAGAAATCCTCTGAAGGAAACAGGGCATTCTTTACTCTTCTACATCTTATTAGATAGAACAGATAAAAAGCACTAATAAAGATGAATAATTGAGGAGAGTAGGGTGTGTGCATACAGGTTCCTGTGTATGTGTTAGTGTTGCAGAAAAATGGTCAGAATAAGAATTTGATATGAGGACAAAACAGCTTTTTTAACACTGATACTGGAAATAACAAAAATAACAGTGTAACAAAAAAGTCTAGGTCACACATGGAAACTAAACATATGCAGGTGTTAGATGGCAGTAAGATGGGTATGTGCATTCAAAAGTCCAGAGTACTAGAAATTTTAAATGCTGAATGCTCTGATGTAACTGTTATTTTTATTGCATTATGGTTACATTACCGGTATTACAAGTTTCAAGACTGCCAAAACCATGTTGTAATAGAAACAATAGTCACTGTCCAAAGGTGCATGCATTGTAAATGAAAATGAAAGATGGCAGGTATGTGAGAGAAGCAAGCTGATGCAGTAGGATAAAAAATATAATTTGATAGGTCATTTTAACACAAACTGTCTGTGTACTATTTAGCTATAATAATCAGTCATCTTCCTTGCTGTTTTCAAACTGCATTTTTCTGAATACATTTAAGGGGAAGAAAGCATAAAAAGTTGTTTGCTGTATGTATAAATGGGAGTCCAACCTATGTGAAAGAGACAAAAGCAAAAGTAAAGTTCATTTTAAGAGAAAATACAACTATGCTCCACATTTTAGGAGCTAAAGTAGAGGTGAACTTTGTAAAGGCAATGTGAAACTAAAATTACACTGAGCTTTAGAGATTATAAACGAGGTAAGAGGCTTAATTTATGATACTATTCCCTAAAGTCAAACTAGATCACAGATCATAATTTAAATATATCCAACAGTAAAGCACTCAGGAAAAATAACTCTAAATATACATCCTTGCCTTGCCATTTCACAGACACTGGATTATAACCAGAAAGGTACAGGAATGTGTGGTTCAGAGATTCATCATGGTTTTCACAGTAGGAGAAACTGAACAGCTTGGAAACTTGCAGCTTAGAAAATAAATGAACCAATGAGATAGAAAACTACCTTTGATGTAAATAAACGTGAAATTATTCTCCACTTTTATTCTTAAAATGAGAATTATCAGTCAAAGAAGTGAATAGGCTCCAAACTTAAATTTAAGAAATAATTTTTCATGAAAGAAAAAAATTATTTAAGGAATTTAGGACTTTAGGATGTCATGGAAATAAACAGGATGTGTAGGTTTAAAATGGATTAAACAAACTCACAGTTTCCATTAAATCATTTGGATTTAGTTTTCTGGGGAGTCCGCAGAATAGTGGTTGTTAAAAGACAGAAGAACGTATATATGAAATACTCTTAGTCTTGTGTCTCCCTTTCTCTATTCATTGTATTAAAAAGTTATTTTGCCTAGGCAAAAACTGAATAAATTTCAGCCATACTTAAAATTACTCAAATAACATGCAAAACTGTTTCTATCTGAAACTTCCCTAAATGCACAGCAAAACTAGCAAGTCTTTTCTAGTCTTCCAATTTTTTTTTCAGTTGAATGAAATGTTTAGTTTTTTTCCACAAAAATCTTCAAGATGTTGTACATCTTGAAGGCTCAGATGAAACTTGAGACTGTATTTCATCTTTTTTCCTTCACAAAGTAACCAAGAATAATTTTTGAGTACGTCAGAACAAAGCGGCCCAATGGTTAAGCAACCCACCTGGAGTAGGGAGCACTGGAGACAGCAGAGCACAGGGCAGTTTCTCAAACAAAAAAGGCAGTGGAACACACTCAGTCACAGGTGACCTGTCCCCCTAGCCCCACGGCTTCAGACTCCAGCTCTCAGATCCCCAACAACAGTCTTATCCAATCCCGTTGATTTGCGCTTCTAGTGCAAGTTATCAGGTTACCCTCTCCTGTTAGAATTACTTCACTTTGTATAAATTACTACTAGTTTTATCTGGGATTTAAAATTTAATTTACCAATGGTTCCAAGTATGCGCTTCAACTGTGCAAATATAGATAGTCTTTATACTGCAAGCTATAGTTAATGTGAAAAAAAACCCACAACACATTAGTTATTTGTTAGTTTTTCATAAGTAAGCTACAGCCTTATCCTGCACAATAATTCTAGGAAGGTTTTCTACATTTGCACAGATGTCTACTCTCAGCAAGTTACAGCTATACAAAACTTCAGAGAAATTACCAGTTCTATGTAAAGAAGAGAATCATAAATACAGATTGGGTGGTAAAGCATAGAAAGAGAAATAAGAGTTTTCCTGTTATTACTTTCATGCTTTCAGACACAGATAGGAAAACATATATAATCTTGCACTTAAAAAGTAAAAATCAAGAAAGGAAAACAAAAAATCTGGAACACTTCTGCATGGTGTTTTTTTATTTAAAAATAAAATACTGCTTAGAAGTTGAAAGAACACTTTTTTTTTTTCTTTTTCAGAATTTTCTCCTCCTGGTTTTCTTGCAAGCAGCCAAATTTTAAAGGAAAAGTAGAGTGAATCAACAATGTAACAGTCTATTGTACTGTATCTGAATAGTAGAAAAGCAAATGCTGAAGATAGCATTTTCAAAATTAAATTCAGGTGTAAAGGTTAAAGTAGCCAACAGGGAGGAAAAAGCTGTAATATTAAACATAGAGTGCTTTGCTGCATCAGTAGTCACCTTGCAGTAATAACGTTCCACTGAAAATTGTGAATTATCACCTCAGTTCCCTACTGTGTACATTTAAAAAGGAAGGAGGGAATGTATTACAAAGTACTTACCAAAAACTTGAAGGAATGTCTGTTTTTTATCACTTCCTGCTTTGTTCTTAGCATTACAGATATAAGGACCAGCATCAGTATTTTTTATATCTCGTATTATTAGTTCTGTATTGCTTCCTCTCAACATATATTTTCCATTTTCTTCAATAAGTTTACCATTCCTAAGAAAATAAGAATAATGCATAAATCAACTGGTGGGTTCCAAACTTTGAAACAGTGCTCTATGGAAGCATCAAAGCATTAAAAATAATCTTTGAGGGAAGAGATTGCTATTATATCAGCTTTAAAAATGCATTAACTCACATGACATAAATTAGTAGTATGCGTAGAAGGGAGTTGATTTTAGGATGACAAAAACTGCTCTACAGGCTCACAGTATTTCTTTTTTTCATAAGAATGTGCACAGTCTAGATGCAAGGAAAGCATTCTGAACCGCATTTTCATTTTCAAGACTCCAGCTTCACAATTTTATTGTCAGGTTCTAAAATAAATATGTATCAAAAATACTACATTTTTATTCTTAAATGTTCAATATTGACTTGAACTTAGAAGAATGGTTGTGAACAGAACTAACATACAGCTTACACTTAAGGAAAGATAGCAAGAAACTTGTGCGACAAATACATAACTGTGTGTGAGAAACAATCAAAAACGCACTTTCTATGTGCAACTGTTGCAGTTCACAGTAGTAACAATGTATCAAGCAATAAAAAAAATATTTTAAATTATATACACGTAGAGCCTATTGGCACATAAAACCCCTTCCAAATTACCTGCTCTCAGCTGTTGTTGGCTAGCCACAACTTAGTAAGCAGGCATGTCTCCAGTTGTTAGAATGAGTTCTGAGCAGATGGTACAGAAATAATAAAACCTGTGAACAATTTTGAGGGCTGATCAAGGCTTGACTGGTCCATTTGAGCATCTTGGCATACACACAGTTATCAAAACAGCTTCTTTTTCCAGAGGGCAGTTTTAACTTTATTTATTTATTTATTCATTCACATTCTGCTTAGTTTTTGTAGACTTCTTTTGATCTTATTTCTGCTGAATCATCAACAGTCCCTTCTCATAAGCACCTACAAAAAATTGCCTGATTTTCGTAAGCATTGATAATCCTTCTGACAATGCCAACTTTTGAAAATAAACCATTTTTAAAATGAAATCATTATGCGTTACTGAAATATTCTATGCTATGCTATGCTACGCTACGGTATGCTAAGCTATTCTGGTTCTGTTTAGCTCAAACCAGGACACTAGTTTAGGACATCTATTTTAACTTCAAGACTTGAGCAAATACGATTTCCACATTAGTATCCGATAATAGGATTCCTCTGGCATCTATATAGCTTGTATTTTAGTAACATTTTTGTAAATAACTCTAGTCGACTTCAAGATATTATTGTGACACTTGTTCATCTCCTTTCCAAAGCAAACAACAGAAACTGTTTTGCAGGGGAAAAAAAGGTGTAATTTTCCTCACAGGTGTTTCAAAAAAAAAAATAGAAAATCTAGTGATTTCTTTTAGGAGACAAAAGTCGATATTCAAGATCAGGAGTAGTTTCCAAATGCCTGTTACTGCACACTTCACATATACCTATCACAATATTTAAGCAGATATGAGATTATGAGCACTTTCCTGGACCCTCTAGCAAAGAGAGAGAGACTCAAATTGATGTTGATATTGGAGAACAGGAGAACACGAATAACACATGAAAAGTAGATTATTTCTTTTGTTAGATAATTCCAAATTCTGTCCATAAAGATAAGGGGATTGACCACCTAAAACTTCACTGGTGCAAATTATCTCTACAAATGTAAAATCATCATGTTTTCAGTAGGACTGTTCACATGAGTAAGGGTTTCCAGTTCATGACCTGCATATTTGGATATTTATCTTTCAGTCTCGGCTAATTTAATTCTATTAGTGCACTGCTTCTCTGAAGGTTACGCTTTACACTAATATCATATCAGCTTTAATATAGATATCACTTAAATGGTGAAATAATTATATTCTCTTGGTCCATTAAATATCAACAAAGTATATATGCATACCAAAGAGAGCAGCAGCTAAACCTTGCTGACCTTTCTTCTTGACTAATTTGTAAGTGAACTAAAGTAATTTTGAGAAAGATTGACACATTAGTTCAGATGAATTTATCTCAAATTGACAAAAATCTTAAACACTGTCAGCATCCAGGAATGAAGAAGGTCAACAAATGGTTAAAGCTTTACCACAACAGTTAATGCCTTAAAGAGTTTAAAGCATGAAACTACTGTTTTGTCCAGCACTTTGCTTACAGTCATCACAGATGAATATATGACACCTCAATAGTACTGTCATTTGATTTTAAAGACAGACATTTTTCAAGTCCTAGCTGAAGCTGACCTATTAAATCTGTTCATTTGACACCAAAAAGGAAACAACAGAAAAGAATTGCTATAGAATTTGTTTTTTAATTCACTAAAATATCAGTACATTGCAAGGAAGGCAATAATACACAACAATAGATCCAAAGTATGTGGGCCTTGCTAAACCTTGATGAACCATCTCAACAGGTACAGATATACTTTCTGTAACATAGAACAAAAATCTTCCAGTAGAATGGAGTAGAAATCATCCCTACCCTTTTTATTGGAGCTTTTCTTCAGGTCTCCAGAAGGCTCAGTATACTTTTGGATAGTTTACAAGTAAACATTATTCTCTGTAAAAATAGTTTGCATCTCTATTGACTTCTTCACAGAATAGCTATGTATTCAAAACCAGACTTCCCTTAAATCACGTTATTAAATGTGCTCATTTTACAAATGGTTAACCTGAGGCAAATTAATTAAAATGACTGAACTTGCATAAATAAATGATACAGTTGGAAATAAAACTGAACACAATTCCTGTACCTTACTGTAAACGAATGTTATAATCCTTCCAAAATCAGCATTAACACTTAAACAAATTCAAGATACATTTCCACTTCTTTATTAAAAAAAGAAACACTTACTTAAAACTGAGGTTAATATCAACTTACATTCAACAAAAAGTACATTAAATAGAATGAAACTTGACTACGATACCTTGGCCATTAATTCTGGTAAGCAGATCCAATTACGTTCTTAATAGATGACAAGAATATTAACATTAGATGAACTGATTGTCATAGACTTTCCTACCACTAAAACCTTTTCTCAAAATCAAGAAGGAATATGTTGATCTAGTTTTCTTATGTTCAGTCTAATTTCTACAGAAAAAGTATCTGAAATATTCTAGAAAACTAAGGTCTTTATCTTAACATATCTGTGAAATAAGTTCAAGGACAAGGAGAAGATAACAGGTGATTCTGAATCCTTTTCCAGCTATCTATATGTGAAACAAAAGGGACCTGAACATTTCAGGAGAGAGATTTCAGAACTTTAGTACTGGAATAAAATTTAGAATAAAGTATGCTTCCTCTGGGTGAAAAATAAATAATAAAAAAAAGCTCCTCCCATAATTTTCTCCTTTTTGCCTATCAATATTAACATTTTTTCACAGAGAGCAGGGGCCTTTTCCACCTGGCACTTTACAACCTCTCAGCAAATAAAAAAACAGTAATATTTTCTACTGCCAAGAATTTATAGTCTAATAAGAAAAAAGAATAAGACAATAAAACCAAAACAAAAAAGAGTGAAGGGACGCACATAAGCCAATACTCCTCACTGTGAGATAGGTCCTGAAATAGGAATAAAACAGAAGCTTCTGCATTTAAGATTCAGTATCCACTACACAAGTATAAGCTTTTGTAAAATCTTTACAAATGATGTTTAATTAATTGTGGCTTCATGGGCTGGAAAACCAAAGTAAAATCTTCAGTATGCTCTGATCCACAGACATCTAGATAATCATCCCTCTAAGACATTCAGCCTGTACTGAAAAGATAGCACTGAGATATCCACAAAATTTGGAAATTTATGCATTCTTTCTTAACAATATAAAACATCAATGATCATTTAGCATACCAGATTTCAGTCAGGTCTTAAGAATTTTGGCCAGATAAGATACACATTGTAAAAAATTACTTTTAAGACATTAAATAAACTGAATATTCAACCTTAGATTGAATCCAGCATCAGTTCAGTAATTTGGACTCTACATATTTTAATTTCCATTTTCCTCCTTGTCACTAAATTTTGAACTGTAAGCCATATTAATGAGTGAATTTTTCTTTCTATATATTTACATCTCCTGAGATTCATATTGCACAAGCAAAACATTTAAATTTGTATCTGACTTATGGCATGTTAAGAAAAAGGTGTCAGTCAAAGGAAACTAACACTTAAATGAATGAAACATTGTCCAAAGATTCCAAACAAGATTAAGAACTGATGGAAATCCCTTCTATGCCCATTTTAAAAATGCAGTGCCCTTTTAATTCAGCCAAAATAATATAAGTAAATGCAAATTATTCAGGTCTAAAATAGAAATGTGCACTCGTGTGAGATGTCTGAGATATTTTATCCCAGGACTGTTGTATGTCTTTGTTAAAATTGAAAGAATATAGAGTGGATGGATATTTAAATTCTTACAAATTTTACATGTCAATTGTTCCCAAGTGACAGAGCTGTAACTATGTTCATATCATTGATATCATCAAAACCCACATATGAAAGCAGTTCCATTTCCATCTAAAAGCAGTTTCGTTTTCAAAAATGTATTTTATTTTAAAAATTACATTAAACACCCCTGAAACTTATTCAATAAACCATTCCTATATCCTAGGGGTTTCTATGCTCTCCGAATCTCAGAGAGTTAGGTTCAGAATCTATTCTCACAAATGAGAAAAATGTTATCTTTGTTATTGATATTGCTGATCTGTATTGGCTATTTATTTATTATGTAGCTGAGTATTTTTTTACCTGAGGCATTCCTGTGCAAATGTTGTGGGATTTTTTTGTTTGTAGTGTTTGAAGATATGGAGTTACTGCTTCAACTTGCTTCCATTCAAATGTGAAGAAATCATACCAATATGGTATTTTAATTACTTTTTACATTTATCTCACTTGCTGGTAATCTGAGTGCAACTGAACGTGTGTGAGTTCATGCACTTATTAATGCTGAATCTAGCTTTATAATTTAGAATAGAAATGGAGAGCAAATGTTCTTAAAATTCAGTAGAGAAATTAAGGTTGCACAGCTTAGTGGACCATTAAAACAATGGGCTTCAATGTGCAGACCTCAGATGAACTTACCTGTACCAATTGATTTCAGGTGGAGGTGATCCTGTGGCTCTGCAGAACAAGTTTATTGCCTCTCCTCGATCTGCAGTGGCATTAAAGGATTTCTGTAGCAGAGTAATTGCAGGAGGAACTGAAAAATAAAACATTATGACGTATTAATGGGGAAAAAAAGTTATTTGATGTGTTTCCAGAGAAATTTAAAGCACAGGATAGGATTCTTCGCTAATTTTGGAATTTATGTTTACCTTTACAGATCAAGTTACAATACAAATCACTGTTACTAATATTTCTTTACTTTTCTTAGACACAAGATTTTTAAAATTATCAGGGCATTTATACCCATTTTTGGTGCTAGAATAATTTTTTTTAAAAGTTCTGTTCAGCAGTTTTATTTTCTTACAGAATATTTTAAAGTGATTGAAGTTATACCTAGCATATATAAGACACAACAGAGTTATGATGGGCACTAATTTAACTATCTCAAACAAAAATGTATCTCTCACCTTTTTCTTCTTTCATTCAATTATAAAGCTAACATACAGTCATAAAGTTATAAAGCTAACATACAGTTGTGTACTGATGTAGACAGTGTTTTTTAAAACACGTGTCAGTATGTAGTGACTTTAATTACACATATATAACTTTTTTTACTGAACTCCTCCATATAACTGGGCAGAAGTATCACCAGCTGCAAAAGGTGACATGTGATAGAACTGAAGGGATATAATCTACTTTTGGAAATTGTATTTCCAAAAATTGTAACTGTGTTCTGAGAGTAACAAATTTTGTCTGTTCTTGATGGGATGAAGTTATTACTGATATTTACCGATATTACTGTTCATATAACAATTTTAAGACAGCTGTCCTAAAGTTGTTTCTATTAATTATCAAGTAAATGGACAAATAAATCAATTCCAGCAGAATGGATGAGGTCACAAGGAAAAGAAAGAATGGGCGGGGAAAAAAAAAAAAAGGAAAAGAAGATTGGAGTTTTATGAAATACAGGTCTCTGCTAGCAAGAACATTGTGTCAACAAAATGACTCAGAGTTATCCTTTCTAGCTTTAACTTTCACTAGAGAAAGAAGGAGAAACAGGCAACCTCAGAATTTGCTTTTGGCTTCCCTGGAAATTGCGCTTCCACTATTTTTTCTCACAGGATGCTGAGAATCAACTTCTGTTGCTTTGCACCAAACATTTCAGCTTTAGTAGTCTACTTCAGAAGCCTTTCCAGCTTCTGAACCTTAAATACATCAAATTTTTTTAAAAATAACCTACCAGAATCATCAATGATCAGCAAATAAATATTGTTATGAACCTTTCACACTTTTTAGAGCAGTAAAATCTGTGCTGTGCTGTAACCTGTGTTTCACAGATCACTTGTTTCTCATGTAAAATTGCATGGGCCATTACTCAGCATATAAAAACCTTCTGTTGTGCAACATCAATTTATCCATCTTCCATGAAAACATGTCACGTAGAAAGTGCTTAATATAGTCTAGCCATTTTGCAGTGTATCCTAATGTCTAGACCCCAAAATATACTCAGTAACATGAGGGGACAAAACAATTCTTTGTCAGAAGCAGCAGGTTCTTCACTGCTCAGAACTAAGGACTATGACTCAGATCAGCACATTACTTCAGTGTTTCAATATTCTGAGAGATAACTGCAATGATAAATGAAATATTATTTTTTTATTTTCAAAAGTCAATTTTTTTTCCTCATCATTCTTCTGGGAGGAAATTTGTTGAGGTTTGGTTTGAATTTATGTGCCAATAATCTAGGCACATAGATTTTAATGCTTCCACTGCAAATTTACTCAGTTTTCTTCTTTTCCATACTTTAGTAGACAGAGGATTTTTGTTGCATTTGCAGGTCTTCATCACCATACTCTTCAAAACAGACTCCGTGTTACGAGAATCAGTCTCACAACATTTACCAGTACACTGAATATCGCTTTTAAAATAGTTTCTTTTACAGCTTTTAATTTTTAAAACTACATGCATGTGACTTGATTCATAAATGCTGGAATGATCAGCCAGTTTGGACACTGGCACAGAAGAAAATGTACTGAACTATGGTCCAAAAGAAATGCTATCCGTTTCATCTCTGTTTCCTGTTATTTGCATCTCTCTCAGATACGAATTAGCCAATGTTACATCAACCACCTTAGCATCCAGGTGGAGCGGAGAATAGAATAAATAGTTTGAAGACAGACACAATTGTCTTCTTTAAATCCTTATCTTCAAAATGAAATACATCTCTACAATGTTATCTCTATCTGTAGTTATAAGTACTACTTTCCCCCAAATTCTATACTATTTGAAACTTGTACCATTATTGCAAAACAAGAATTTTCCCCTTTAATGTAAGAAATTTATAAGAAATTAATTCTATTTACTACTCTTCCCCAAAAAGTAAAAAAAAATTACTCAGAATCACCTAATTGCAGCTCCTCAGGAAGTAATTGTTACTCAAGAAAATAGTAAGTCTTCCATGTATCAAAGGTTAAAAATTAATTTAATTTCCACTTATTCAATATCATCTGCATATGCTGCTTCACCAACTGTAAAACTTTCTTCTGCTTACTTAGGTACCTAAATATGGGTACAGCTCCCTAACTTCAGGCAAAGAAGGAATGCACTTTTGAAACCTGTCTTTAAATCACAGAATCACAGAATCACAGAATGTTAGGGGTTAGAAGGGACCTCTGAAGATCATCTAGTCCAACCTTCATCCCAGCATACCTAACCACTACACCATAGCCTCAAGTGCTAGATCCACTTTTTTTTTAAACACCTCCAGGGTTGGTGACTCCACCACCTCCCTGGGCAGCCTGTTCCAGTGCCTCACCACTCGTTCAGTAAAGAACTTCCCCCGAATATCCAATCTAAACTTACCCTGACGCAACTTGAGGCCATTTCCCCTTGTCCTGTCATTAGTAATTAGAGAGAAGAGACCAGCACCAGCCTCACTACAGCCTCCTTTTAGGTAGTTGTAGAGGGCAATAAGGTCTCCTCTCAGCCTCCTCTTCTCCAGACTAAACAAACCCAGTTCCCTCAGCCGCTCTTCATTTGCGGAGTGGCTTTTCATCATTTTATTTTGGTGATTGCAAGGTCTAATACTTCATTTTATAGTGATAGTTCTAGGGTCGATTAATTTTTCTTGCCTCCACACACGTCAAGAAACCATGCTCCAGGCAAGTATCATCCACCTGGACAGAGATGACTTGTATACAGCCAAAATGCCTCAAGAGGGAACTTACTTCTTGTTTGTAAATATGAGAATCACAGGTTTAATTCCAGTTTTAATTTTCTTCTCCTCTTGAGAGGATTTGATCCCATATCATCTACCATTGAGAGACTGGTCTTCATTAGTTCTACCACAGCTTACAATTTTGAGTGAAGTATATATAAGCAATAGAATAAATCATATTTGCAAAAATATAAACAATATCAATTCCTGATATATATTAGAGAAGACAGTCAAAAAGCAACACAGTCATACACTGTTTGCAGTAGAGAAACATTATACATGGAGAATTCTGCTACTCTCAAAATAAATTAGCAGAGCTAAAATAATATCAGCCCCTATACCTCCTGAAAATGTATTTCCACAGTACACTCTAAATAAATATATAACAGTAAGGACTAATATTATTGATTTAATTATTAATTTCATCACTCTCCCTACTAACTCTCACAAAAAAATATTTTTTTTAAAATTGTAAAATTATAGGTGACACGGTCTGCCAGCTTTCCAAAAGTACTCTTACTTCAATATTCTTTAGTTGTAGTTTATTGAGCTTTGGAGACCTTGTACAGTTCTTGCTGTGTGTTTACATAGATCTCACATCTTTCTGTAGATTCTGTAGGTACTATTTTAATATAAGTAAATAAACAGTAAAGTTCTAAATTTTTAATAGTTTCTACATACAAATGCTGTCACGACAACTTTTTCTTTCTGCACCAAGCTTCGATTATTCTCTAAAGTAAATATTACTGCTTATGTTTTTGAAAAAAAGACACATGGTGAAAATACACCCATGTAGCTTTTAGAGGCCAGATTACTCCATTTTTAATTCCCCCCCCCCCCCTTTTTTTTTTTACCCCCCCCCCCCCTTTTTCTGAATCCAACTCATTCATATGTTTTCCTTTTCATCAAAAAGAACTACAATTTTTATTCCTTTCTGATTTTCAGTATTAGTCTAAAAGCAATTTTGGGCTAAGTTTAACATATTATCTTTATGCAGGAAAATATATTTATTCCTAGAAATGAAACAGAAAATAACTCTAAATTGACATCACTCTACATGAGAAAACATATCAGGATCACCCTGTTGGCAACTTCTTCTCCTCCCAACTCTGTGAACTCAATTCTAGAGGTGAATGTCTAGAGTCATAACAAAAATAAGAAGAATCATATTTGTGATTGTAATCTGCCCATTAATTATATCATTATATATTTGAATCATAAAACATAAAACGTTTAAAATCTATAAGTAATTCTGTTAATAAATCCACCCATGACTTTGAAAACTATAATAAAATACGTTAAAGCAGTGAAGGTGAGTAATTATGAAAAGCCAATTGTGGTTTTTTTTAAGAGTAAATGACAAAATACTGAAGATAGAGGGTCAACTAAACTACTATACATTATCATCTAAAATTGAACTCTTGCAGTGATTGTCAATGTTCTATGAATGATTAAAAACAATCATCCAGGTTTTATGTACTTATATACACTGATATGAATTGCAATGCATTCATTTACACAGTATAGTAGAATTTTTTCGACATTAAGCAATTACAATTATAGAAAAACAATACCAAACAGATATGACAACTATAGTAATAAATTTAACCATGATTTTTCAGAAGCTGATATATTTTAAAATAGGATATGATAATTAAGTAAAGCAAGACGTCAATTCAACAACTTTTATTCCTTACCATTCACAATAACAATTATGTCCCGAAAGTCAATTTCTCCTCTGGCTTCCACTCTTCCTTCACACCTGTATACTCCTTCATCACTTTTATTGATCTTAAGAATTTGGAGATTATTATTTGCTAACACTGCAAATCGATCTAGGAAGGCAAGTAAGAGATTAAGTGGTGTTAGTAAATCAAAATAACATGAAGAACACTAACTTAAATGAGTAATATTTATGTACTTGCTCTGTAATATCAGAATGCTTATTGACAAAACATTTATCAATTTAAAAGTAAGATGTCAGCCGAGATTACTTTTTTTCCCACTCTAAAATACATTGCCATTTCCTAAAAATCAATCTGGATTTTCCACACATATCTTCCTACTTATTATAAGAAGTCATCACATAGAAGATAAATTTATAAAGTATTGCAAACTGAGTGGAATATTCATGAACACCTACACAGAATATGAAAAGATTAAAGAGATGTAAATGAGATAAATAAAGAAATTTATAATAAAATAAGTAAGACAATGATTCTTCCATCTATATCTAGATTTACCAACTGTCTTTGTGCTCATTTTATGGCACTATGTGCAGGTATTTTTCAGTTTGCTTGCTCTCCTTCCCTCCTCCCGTTCTTTCACATATTGACTATTACTCAGTTGATGTACCTCACTCTACAACACTTCATGGAAATAGGCACAAAGACACAATACAACAAACCACTCTACCTTCAGTATAGTCTAAAATAAACTGAAATTCAGTAGAGTTTTTGAGTAACTTAACCTCATCGAAAAAATCAGATCCTGAACAAGTGTGCATATGCTTTCCCCATACCTGCAGCAGCAAAATTATAATCTGCAAGAGTAAACTGAATGTAATTTCTCTCTCCTTTCTGTCTGAACTAATGCATTGGGTTCAACATTTCAAGATGTTGGCAGGAAGGGGCTGTGGGGCAGCCCCTGTGAGGACTCACACTGAAGCAGTTGTTCTTGAAGGCCTGCACCCCACAGAAGGGACCCATGCTGGAGCAGTTTGCAATGAATTGCAGCCTGTGGGAAGGATTCATGTTACAAAAGTTCCTGTAGGACTGTCTCCTGTGGGAGGGACCCTATGTTGGAGTAGGGAAGAGTGTGAGGAGTCCTCCTGCTGAGGAGGAAGGACTAGCGAAACCGACCACAACCCCCGCTCCCCATCCCTCTGTGCCTCTGTGGGGAGGAGGTAGAGAAAATCACGAAAAAAAGTCGAGCCCAAGGAAAATGGTTTTTAATATGTGTTGTTAGGTTTTTTTCTCATTACCCTACTCTGATTTGATTGATTACGACTCGAGCTGAGTCTGTTTTGCCTGTGAGGGTAACTGCTGAGTGATCTCCCTGCCCTCATCTCAACCCATGAGCCTTTAATTGTATTTTTAGTCTCCTGTTCAGCTGAGGAGAGGAGTGACAGAGCAGCCTTGGTGGGCACCTGGCATCCAGCCAGGTCAACTCTACCTGTTGAGGAGTGGCTGGGTGGGTGCCTGGAAGCTGGCCGAGGTCAACCTGCCATAACTAGTCAAAATTAATTGACTCTGTTGAGGAGAATTACTTCCTCCAGTTCACTGTGTGTGTTTTTTGATGAACCTGCATACCTGTTACACAGCTGTCTGTCTTGTTCTCTTTGAACCACTGTTATACTTTCAGTGTTGGAGAATGATGATTTACTATCTTTCAGTTTTAACTAGCAACGAAGCATCATTTTTCACTTTTCTTTTTGATTCTGCTAGATTTTTAAAGCATGCTAAAATTCCCACAACACAACACTGATACTGCAAAACAGTAATAAACAACACTTGGTAGAAAAGATTTTATGTAGTCATACAGCTAAGAGTCTATTCATAGAACTTATGTACATACATATTGAGAAATAAAACAGCTTTTTATACCATGTGAGTTCTGTCTCATTACCAAGAACTCTATCAGAAAAGGAAGAGAGAAATGAAAAAAGAAAATTTAATTATGCTTCACCTGGCAGAGGTTTACAGGACATCAATGCCCTCAACACATTTACGCTGATTATGTCTACTTTATTAAAGTCATGCTTGAACACTAATGCCATTTCATACACTACCACATGCAAATTATATCATCTTTTTCTTTCCCGTCCCTAGACAATGCCCAGAGAGGTAGGCTTCAGAATGTTTTGAAAAAGCAAGACCTAGCCACTCTTTGAGCACTGGTAACTTCGTTATTGTTGTTTTTAACATAAATATTTAATGTGTGAGATGAACAAGAGGACTGGAGATCAACATTTATTTATTTAAAATGCTGCAAAAGAGGGTTTATTTGGTAACAAGAAATAAAAATGGTAGGTGTTGGCTGGATGTCTTTTCAACTTTCATAGAAGAATAATATAATGGATACAGCAGGATATATTCTCATGAGTAAATTAGATATAATGGAAAACATTTTGTCTCCTTTTACTCTACTGTCTATATATAGACAAAATTATACTGTCTACACATCCTATTATAAGGAAACATAACAAAACAAATGTGAATTTAATGTGTGACTTTCTTCAGGAAAATTAGTCTTATACAATAATGTGTTAATATTAATTAGAATGTATAACTTAAAGAGTTACCAAAATACTAACTGTCAGCAATAGCTGTGACTTCCTCATTCCGATACAACCAGCTGACAACAGGCGCAGGTGAACTAGTAACACGGCAAATAACTTCTGCATCTTCTCCCTGCCTGAACTCTTGTGGAGATACTATGTCTCGGAAAGTGAGCTTTTCTGGTAAGGAAGAAAACAGAATACAGTAAGTATTTTCCAGTTCATTTAGCATTGAAATTATATGTGGCACCAAATAAAATAAAAAGGACTATTAAAAACCCAGTCATTGCAATAACACAGAATTATTTCCATAATATGATTTTCCCATATAGACTCAAATAGTCCTTGATACATGACTTTCATTCTATCTGTACGAATGATTTTAAAATCATTTTGCATTAAGAAAATATTTTGGTTTATTTATATAAGCTGAGTATGTTTTATAAATACATTTTTCATTGTTTTCAATGTTCCAGAGCCCAGTTTTGAAACGTTATTTTTTAGGGGTTTGTATATACAGGTTAATATAATAATTTATACTCTTGTGCGTTTTATTCCTCATGATCTTATTATTGAATTAACAGCTCACATTTTTATTCCACCAAAACTTCCATCAAATCCACCAAAATTATTTGGCAAAATCTTACTAAAACGGTGGAACTTGAGCCTCACTGACTGAAAAACATCATCTGAGTAAAGCATAAAATCTTAAAAGCCAGTGGAAAACTATTGGGAAAAAATATTATTAATCACAAGAATTTGTAGCAATTTTTGGGAAATAAGACATTTTTAGGCCTGATGAAGTTGTCATTTTTCAAGCCTCAAATAACCAAACCTGGTATTTAATTTTGTTAGTGGGTAGAATAAGTTCAGTATTATTAGGATTTAGTGTCAGAAGTCCAACATTGCATTAACCTGTGATCTCATACAAGATCTAATGCAGAAACCAACTGACAAAAAAATTCTGGAGGAATTTCTGCAGAAAGAAACAAACTACAGAAGAAACAAACTACTGTATGCTCTCTAGGACCAAAGAGTGCCAAATACACTTCAGATGACACTTTAGAGAACTTAAGTCAGAGATGCAACTCCGTCTCCTTCTTTTTGTATCAATATGAGTTCAGGTTCAAATGACCCACACAGCTCCCATTGCAGAGGAAGAACACTTTCACTTCATACATGTCTTATACACTTTGTAAAAGTATTTGTATTTAATGTTTGAAATGTTTGACCATAAGTCAGAAGAAAAACTCTCATAGATACCAGTGAGTACTGAACCACATGCTAAAAGTACAGGGTATCCTGCTTTTTCCTAACAATACATCACCAATACGAATAATGAAATTGTTATACGTCAGTTGCCACAAATTCTCACAATTTTTGTGCAGGTCTTGGGGTTTATCTAACCCCAGAATTATTAAAATTACCACACACAAATACTTGAAGATTTCAACCTTGCTTAGCAGTTTGCTAGTGGAGTGACTGATAGTTTTAAGAGTACAAATTCCACAAAACCTGAAATCCTTTGAATTGCCAAATTCCAAGTCATCATGCAATAGCTTGTAATTGGTATCACCATTTTAATACTTGGTTTTTGTTCTGGTTTTTTTGTGTTTTTTTTTAAAGATACATCTTTTATTATCTCAGTATATCTGTACCTTTCAGAAACAGTGTTTTATGATTCTACTTTGTATTTCCTGCCTCATTGCAACTCCTTAGGACTCAGTCCATCCAGAAATATTTTTTAATGAATATTAAAAAACTATTCTCCAATGAAACGAGAGAATAACTCAGCTGAAAAGCTGCTGGCATATATCCCCTCCTTTCATCAACAAAGATGTTGCCTTATATCTTCACTGTATACTTGTTTAATGTATTGCTTTCAGGTATTTTTGATTGGTCTAAAAATATAGCACAACATGAAGTTATTTAACTAAATTGAAAAAAAAGAAAAAAAAGTCAAACCTCTCAGAAAATCTCTTACCACAACAGAATGTATTTACTTTTCAGACATATTGCTGAATTAGCTGTTTGCAGCTTAAAGGCATTTTAGTTGCTTAACACATTAAGCTTCAATGCTTCGTAGAATAATTCCATTATAAGACCAAGAATACAAAAAGACTAACATAAAAATAACTAATTCAGTTTAAGCTCCACGTTTTTAGTTACGTCGCACTTCCTACACCTTTATTTATGCATGTATTTGCAATAGGTTTTAGATACATTTGTGATAAAAATTAGGTTTTCCATGAGGGGCATCCTCTGAAGAAGGCAATCTAAGATACAAAGGTAAAGTGATCTACACTATTACGAAGTGGTTATCCATTCAATTTAAGTTTTTGTCATAGTATCTATTAATTGAATTTCAGGAGTTGTAATTATTGGGAAAATAAGGTTCAGAGCCTAGAAAGATATTTTGACAGGCTTTACTTTCTCAGCAGCAGTAGCTTTCAAAACATGGTCTTTCATTTGCTAGTTCAAAATGTTTCACTTACGATAAATTTCCAAAACAACAGTGGCTTCTTGAGTTTGTCCTTTAGCATCTGTTGCTTGACACCGATAAATACCAGCATCTTCTATATCTGCATTATATATGGTTAGACGTGATCGAACACCTTCTTTCTGAACAATCACTCTTTGACTAGAAACAATCTTCTCTCCTTGTGGATTGTACCAGTCTATGTTTTCAGGTTCACCAATAGCTATAAACAAAACCAAAAAACAATACAACATTAGAATTTCATCTATTATCCAACCCGTATTTCTGCCCAATGCACAATGTCTATGCAATGTCAGAGAATTGCTAAATTATGAGACTCGTGAGAAAGTCTGTAAGAAGACAAATAAGGCAAAACTGCAGTGAGAAGTATGATTGCTGAGACAGGATAACTAGAAAAAAGAAAGAAATAGGCAGTTCAGTAATCACTGGGTCAACAGGTCAAGTTATTAGTGGCATTGTCGGTGTAGTCAGGCCATGAGTCACGGTTAAAGTCGGACAGGAACTCAGCAACATCAAGGATCCATATGAGGCAGCTGCATACTCAAACTCTTCACCTCTTGACTGATTTCTGCCTCATCAGAAAAGACTCTTTGGGTGTTTTATACGTCTGGAGTGGATAATAAAGCTTAGCCTAGTAGCTTGTTTAACTCTTTAGTTTAGAACAGCGAAAATATTTTAAATAATGAAGCATCCTAATAGATATAAACTACTTATACTGATATAAACAATTCAAACTGATTCAGTATCTGAAATGAATAATCTCTAGACCAGAAATGTGAAGCCAGTGAAGATCTGCTAATTATCACTAATCAATGTGAATATACAAAAATATGCTAAATTAAGTTAGTATTGTGAATCAGTTAATTCAAATTATGTAGAAATTTCAAACTGTAACAAAAAATACATACCTACAAGTAAAATGAACACCCACCTGTGCATGTGAAGAATTTGGATTCACCCACACTGAGCTCAACCTTGCTAAGTGAAATTGTAACTTGAAGTAGAGCTGAAAAACATAAAGTGGGATGTGAACACATTTTGGCTTGTATGAGTTTAAATTTTATATTTCCAGATTTTGTATTTTCTTATTCCATACCACACTGCAACAAATAAAAAAGCTCCAGATAAGCACTGCATCTGAGAATAAGACACTGAGCATAAGTGAAAACTTTTTCATGATGTGCAAAGTCAGAGAGTGGAGCAGACTGCTCACTTACGCAATCTTGGTTCTTTCAGTTTTCAAGAGTTCAGTGGATAAAGCCTTGAACAGTCTGCTCTGTCTTTGTAACTGACCCTGCTTTGAGCAGGAGGTTGGACTAGAGATCTTCATAAGTCCCTTCCACCTTGAACTTTCTTATGGTCCCATGACTGTATGAATAACATATCCAACACAGCCAGTGTTACTGGTGCAGGGATTATTTATGCAAAATAACTATGCAAAATTATTTATTTGTTATTATTTATTATTATTATTTATTATTTATTTT